CCAGCAAGTTCCTCAAGAATGGCTCTTCCCTTCAACTTCAAAAAGTTACCATCCCTGGGTCAACGGACGCTCTCTACTGTGATATATCAACGGGACGAGTGAGACCATACGTCCTTTCTTTGCATCGCCAAAGCCTCTTCAACCAGTTACACAACCTCAGTCATCCCGGCATCCGAGCTTCTACACGCCTCGTGACTGACCGGTACGTGTGGCCCTCAATGCAACGGGACTGCCGCACCTGGGCACACACATGCATTCAATGCCAGCACGCCAAAATCCCCCGGCACGTCACGTCGCCACTCGGCGAATTCCCCCTCCCGACAGAACAGGTTCCAGCACGTCCACATCGCCATCATTGGCCCCCTCCCACCAGCCGGCCCTTACCGCTATTGCCTCACCGCCATCGATCGTTACACTCGTTGGCCCGAGGTGTGGCCGCTCGAAAGGATCACCGCAGAAGACGTCGCATCAGCCTTCTCCGGCTTGGTTTCATGCTTCGGCACTCCTCGTCCAGTCACCACCGATCAAGGAAGGCAATTCGAATTTCAACTCTTCAGGCTCCTCGGGCTCTCCACCGGGTTCGAGCGTTCACGGACAGCTAGCTACCACCCTTGCGCCAACGGGATGATTCAACGGTTTCACTGGCAGTTCAAAGCAGCCATCATGTGCCACCCTCACTCAACCTGGCTCGAAGCTCTCCCTGCCGTCGCTCTCGGTCTGCGCGCAACTTTCAAGCCAGACATTCAAGCCACGCCCGCAGAACTCGTCTACGGGGAGCCGCTACGCCTACCTGGAGAACTCCTCTCCGCTCCGACCTCTGATGTAACCAGCTCGGATCCTGCAGACTTCGTTGTTCGGCTTTGTCGCACAATAGGCGCGCTGCGCCCCTCACCAGCGGCTTGCCAAACCATGCCAACCCCGTTCGTGTTTAAGGGCCTGGCAACATCGCTCGCATGCCTTCCTCCGCGACGACACCGTACGCGCATCTTTCCAGCCGCCTTACTCCGGACCTTACAAAGTCATCTGTCGCGACGACAAAATATTCACCCTGCAAATCAGTGGAAAGGATGTACGCATTTTCATCGACCGCCTAAAGCCATCATACATACTTTCCCAGGAGCCTACCAACCCCCGCACGCCTCCCGTAATTCGCCGACAACAGCACGTAACGCCTAGGCTCACACCCTACACCACCCGCCTTGGACGCCAGGTGCGGGTCCCTAAACCTCTTCAACCCTGAAGGCTCCTATCTGCGTGGGGGGGTTGGTGTGCTGAAACGGGTCGGCGCCGCTTCTGCGCCTGCGTGTCGCGGGGATGCCACCAAACACGGGCGCCAGCGATAAATCACTCTCACCCGAAATAAGCAAGAAAACTGTGTGTGTGCCCCGATTCAGGGGCAGTCATTGTAGAACCTTCTGTGTGGAAACATTAAAGTTATGTTATCTCACAGAGTCTTATCTGCCGCCGGGGACTGTCTGAAAAATTGCTGAAGAAGTATTTTGGCCCCTACACAGTTTTACAATGCCTGAGTGACGTTAATTATGTGGTCGTTCCTGACAGCCCCTCGACAACTCGCCAACAAAAACCAGAAATTGTGCACGTTGTGCGAATGAAGCCCTACTTTCAGACTTATTTACACCATACATCTACTTCACCGTCTTTTGTAGAAGAGCATCGGGGTGCTGCTCTCTGGAGGGGGACAAATGCCCCTTTGAATATGCAACACCAAGAGAACAACGGAGAACACGCGCAGCGAGAGAAAAAGACGAGGTTCTCTTCCGATAAGTTTGCCAGTGTTCTGGTACAATTAAAGTGAGTTTCTTGTATTCAACTGCTGCTGTTTCTGCATTGTGACAATATTATGTCACCTAGAAAGAGATGCCTAAAAAGTAAATTACAAACAAAACAAAATCCGCATGCACATCACATTTTTTATGTGAAGGCGCTGCAGCAGATGGGTTACAATGTCAACGAAAACACGCCTTCATTGACACAACACACTTTGTTCTCTTTATAAGCCAATTCATTCTGTCATGAAGCTAACAAAAATGAATTATTAGAAAAATTATATCTGGTATGACATTCTAAAATCTTAATTACCATTGCGCGAAAAGGACCGTTTAGGTACATTCATTTTCTCATGTGAGTTTCGAGTGAAATGCTTGACATAAGAGCTTTAACTGCAGTTTAATTCAACGCAATGATAGCAATTCCCATCCTTGTACATTTTATTTTTGTTATAGCTGTCATTTTTGAGTAATGGCTTAGGACAAACCTTAAAGCGCTTTTCTGTATTTTTTAATGTTTGTCACCTGAAGACATATGACAAGGAATCTCATACGGAACAAGCATACTGTGAATGTATGCTAAATACATTGTTGATTGTAAACATGCCGGCGCCTGTCTCTGGCTTCGCTGTATAAAGTATAACGATTTGGTGACCTTCGTCACCACTGAATCAACAAGAGCATTTCATGAGTGGTCCTCCATGGTTTTTTATTCGTTCTCCAGCTACCTGGGGCTGCCCAGAAAAACCTGTTCTTCTTTTCCCCCTTGCAACACCCAGGTTTTCAGGGGGGTTCTTCAATTCCTTCAGGGCACTGGACAGCTATTTGTAGAAGGTGGTCAGCACGTCCTTCGCCATAGACGTCACTTTTATTTTCTTACCCCATCTTTAAATCTCTCTCCTTCTTCCCCTGCAGACCCCGAGACATTCTTCAACTTAGGGCTGCAGAAATAGCATCTTTTGCACTCCTCATGCTCCTCTTCCAATCGCTCGCAGCATTTCAGCATTGTCTTCGTTGAACCTTATAGTGTTTCGAAATATCAATGCTGTCCTTTTTTACATGAATAACTGTTTCACACCACGCTCGAAAACAAAACTAGGGCTTGAATAGCACTCATATATGCACTCATTTGGAAAATAGGCATTTATAGGCACTATAAAAACACCATAAAAGCCCTTCTTAATCTCTAATTTATGCTCATATAGCAATATGGCACGGTAGGAATGCAAGGAACAAAATAGGCATTTGCCTATAATTCGATCTCTAGTTATCACCATAAAATACTTAAGGTTATAGATGATCTGTATGATCTGAAGCCATTTTAAGTGCATGAGGCACATGGAAACTGCAGCACCTCACTTAAAACCTATTGATGATGCATTTGCCTTGCTTGAATGTTACATGCTGTAATGAAAGTTTAAAAAAAAGAGTGGATGAGTATCCTAGACATTGTGGTACTCTCCTTTGGAATGGGTGGCCAGGGCTCAGACATAAGCACTAAAATGAAAATTTAATTTGTTTCATTTCAATTTCGTTGGAGCAGCAATCGTCACACATGGCAAAGGGATGGACAGTGTTCTTGTTGAGTCAGCATTGCTTAAGCACTCAAAACGAATATCTTAAATGTCTATAAGGTCGAAGATATTCTTACAATCGTTTCTAGCACTAAAAAGGCCTATATGCAGTACTGGAGGGGTATTTGCCTAAACATCTTCCAGGATTGATTATAATATAAAAGGTTCAAAAGCAAACATGAGTATATACAGTCAAACCCCTTTACAAGGGACACTGATGTAATATACAAACGGGTGTAAGTGACATTAATGTGTCCCTTTCAAGGTTGGGGTGGGTCACAAAATGCATTCGTGGTGCCCTGCTTATGAGAGACACCTCATATAAGAGATGAGTATTGCGCCCAGGTGCATGCCTGGGGTTTCAACAGGAGTGGGTTTGACTTGTTTGAACACAATTAATGTAAGTTATAAAAGGTGAAGCAGGGTACAGTGCCAGAAAAGACATGTGCCAGGTGATTTTACTGGAGGGGTTTCATGAGATCTTTTGTAGCAGAGCTGTCGTGGTCGATGTTTGCCATGTGTCATTTATATGTAATGATTACCGTCATGTCGTGAACCGGCACCCACTCAGTCGCCGCCTGAGCACACAGTACGAACGATTAACGGGAGCAGCTGCAACCTGCGACCCTGTTCCGTGTTTGCTGCCGGTATGTACATTTTTAGTGGACCGGTGCAGTATTAGGATTTTCCCGATTTACGGAAACGTTCTACACTGGAGCTAGTAGGGGGTCCCTCCTATGTACGGCTGACGCAGAAGCCTAACTAATGTTCCAGCCGCACACAGTCGTACCGTGCACGATTAACGTCCCCTATCTATAGCTAGTCTCATTGCAGCTACACGGGTTCGAGCGAATAAGGCGACAGGCTAGGTCAACAACAACACTTTATTGCTTGGCATTAGCAATAGCGCGCAAATGTCGCGAGGAGATAGTACAGAAAACAAGGGTAGACGCTTACTCCTTGGTCGTTGTCGTCCTCGGCTCCCAGGGGGGTTGCGGGTTCGGCTTCCTTCGTTCCTGGCCGGAATCAGAGAGGGTGTGCGGCCGTTCGCACGCCAGTTTTTCCCCTTCCCCACTTTCCCTCTCCCTGTCGAGAATAACACCTTTTCTCGCTGAGGGAGGGCAAACCGTGTTCCGATCGCCGGGAAAGGGGAAATCGCGAGCGCCGGCTGTGGGGTATTCCCGCAGCTAGGCTTTCGCGTTGCCGTAAAAAAGGGAAAGGGAGGCTGGGCGCGCATGCTCCCCCTCAAACTCTACTTCGGAGTTCTACACTGGAGCTGTTCTTGTCGGGGAGTGAAGAAGATGTGTGGTTAGAAAACACTTCCAGAGAAAAAAAAAAAGACAGAGAAGGATAGAGAGACAGAGGCTCAAATAGAAAGATAAATAATAGACAGCAAGCATAGCCATGTATAGTAGTAGTATAGAAAGGGTGCTAAGACAGGTGAAAGAGTAACAGCCTTGCCAAGCCAGGGCCATCTTGATGCCCACCATTTTTGCTGTGTCACAGTCTTGTGCAATTTTTTGCAAGCCACGCAGACCTGTTCAACATATGTGAAATATTTATTTTAAGGATTTCCATAGGTGCCCATTTTGTTGTGTATGTCCCAGTAACCCATCCTTTCATACACTATTGCAGGATCCTAGACTGTTGCTCTCTGGAGATGGAACCATTGGGTGCATGCCAAGACCATGCCATAGCAGCAAAAGAGATCACGTAAGAGGACTTTCATTCTTTTTCTCAACAATAATAATCTTTGCTGTTGTCACGCGTAACAACACAAGCCGACTGATTTCAGGATGACATTGCAGCAGAGGCAGTGTATCGGTCATCACTGTATCTGGCCTGTCAGCCGGGAAGAGCTGTAGAAACGTCACGAGAGCCGGCGTGTGAGCTGCACCACGTTGCAAATAAATTGGTTCAAGCTCAAGTATCAACCCGACATGAAGCATCACAAGCAAATGGAGAGAAAGTTCTGTCCACAAGTGCCACACAAACAGATGTTCAAGCTGTTGCTTCACGTATGTATCTGCATTCATGGTAAGATTGAAAAAAAAAAAAAATAGAAGACAGCGTGGTTTAGCTCCAAAGTGAAGAAAGGAACACTAAATTAACAAATCAGAATGTTATATGAGGTAAGGTTAGCAGCTCAATCCTCTAGCATCCCATCTGGTGTCACTCTAGAAAACAGTGCCATTGAAGAATATGGCCGCTCGTGTGAAGTTTGTGAATTTCGTGCTATCTGTCTCTTTAAGGGCTGTAAACCACCCCTGATATTTTTTCAAACACTTCAAGTAAACACAGGCATTGTGTGTGGAATGCCATAGCGATCAACAATTCTACAGGCGGCAGCGCTACGTGCTGCCGGCGCTCCTCATCCAAAAAACTATCCCTCCTTTTTTCCGGGACCTTTCAGGCCTCCGCCTGATGCGCCGTTCCATACCTCTGACATGCCGAGCGAGATATGCTGTGATTGGTCGAGCAAGAGCGTACGAATTCTAGTCAGTCTGCAAGCAGCAGTTCGTGCCGCTTGTTGTTCGTCGTGATGCCCACGTGCATGCGCCTCATCTCGGGCGGAGGTTGTCTGGCACGGCGCGTCCCTGTATGGGTCCATCGCAACAGCGATCCTTTGAAGGCGTGTGCCCAATGCAGGGTCCATATCGACACAATTCAGCAATATCACAACTGACGGATTCGACAGCCAGAGTTGCGGCAACCGAAAGTAGACGGTGTTTCAAAACAGCGCATCACTGATCACGTAAGCTACGCGAGATTGGGAGGCGCACTCGCGAGAGGGCAATGCGGCTAGGGAGAGGGTACCAAGGGAGGGAAGTGCAGGAGAGACTGAAATCAGTAATCATTGCGGTTTCGATAATCAAATGTGTCTAACTCTGCTATTACTGCACCGTTTTGAAACATTCTCACGGCTTCGTGTTCGTTGTACACTCGTGCGCAATTTCCCCATCAGAAATGCATTTCGACCTCTGGGTGGTTTATCGGCCCTTTAAATGCAAGGTACATGGTGAGAGAGCAGAAAGTACAAATGGTACCAAGATATGAGCCCCCCCCCCTGTCGTGGTGGTCTAGTGGCTAAGGTACTCTGCTGCTGACCCGCAGGTCGCGGGATGGAATCCCGGCTGCGGCGGCTGCATTTTTGATGGAGGCGAAAATGCTGTAGGCCCATGTGCTCAGATTTGGGCGCTCGTTAAAGAACCCCAAGTGTTCGAAATTTTCGGAGCCCTTCACTACAGTGTCTCTCATAATCATATGGTGGTTTTGGGATGTTAGACCCCACATATCTATCAAGATATGAGCCATCAGCTGATGGCTGTCAAGATTGCACGCACAACTCGTCCCCCCTTCTCCCCTCTGGTCCTCTTTCAATTTTTCAGCTACGCTTGGATGAGCATTAGCATGGTTGAGTGGATTTGCAAAAACACAAGCCTGGAACACCACTTGTCTAGCTCGAATCAATGAATTGCAAAGACTTTGTACAAGCCCCTTGTGTTCCAGACTGAAGCTTAGCACTGTACACAGTTCAAGCGTTGTAAGTGTGGTAGGACTGCCGACAATTGCAGGAGTGGAACAGCTGAGCCATTGTGAGCCAGACTCACCTGCGCCATCCTGTGCCGAACCACCCCTGCTGTGTCAAACTTGCCGTAGTGCGCCGTAGCACCAGAATTTTGCCGCAAAATGAGAAAGCGATCAAGCACCGTACCTGGAAACGTGGCGAAAACCTATTTTTGGTTTGATTGAAACGGTTATTGTTTCCGTTTTGTAAAAGTTGTGATCAACCTAGGAGCAGCCGTGAACTTTGATCCTAAAGCTGTGGTCACGATTGCTATGCATGTACGATCACTTCAGGCATCAGTGCGAATAGCTCATGGACCCTTCCACATGCTGCAGCACTCTCAACATGAAGAGACAGCAAGAGGAGCATCTCTCCCGGTTTTGTAGTGTTGCGCGATATCAAATCTAAATGAGTTGGCTGCCAGCCGTACAATTTCTTGCTGTTGCATTCATTGGTTCGCATATTTTGGTGAAATTGTTTTAATAACATAATGGCAGAATTCGAAAAAGGAATCAAGGATGGCAGTAGCGGCGCTCAAAAGAAGGGGGCAGTGTCCGTTTCCCAGAACAGCCTAGGAAAGACGTGCACATGACTGTTCATTGAGCGTATGCACGTACTCTCATTCACTTGGCCACTGTGCTTGGTGCTCGTTCAGGTAAACCTTGGCTCGTTCAGGTAAAGAAAAAAAATGGGTGGCCGTACATAACTAAAAAAAAAACACCCACATCTTCTCACAGGAAGAACTTGGGCAAGTGCGTTGCAGAGTAGTTGGGGTATGTTGCGTAATTGGGTATGGTTTGGGAATGCTTATTTGTTATTTCGTCTTTATCATTCTTATTTGTTGAATGAAAGAGAAGTGTTGCTTTCAACGAGTGGCGAGACGCTGATGTTGGGTTGTGCCCCACTATTGGTTGAAGTAACTGTTGCTTCCATCGCATCTACTTGAGCCGAACAAAGCGTCAAGTCAAGCGGAAGCCAAGTAAAGACATCCTTGACTGAATTCTAAACACGCAATTCAGTGCCTACATATAAGGGGTGGCCAGTGAACGGTTGTGCAGCGTGAGCAGTCGGTTTTTACTAGCAGACGCTACCTGTGTCGGCTTTGTGAGCGGATTAGATATTAGCTGAACCTCGTATCATTTTCTATGGCCATATGATCAGCTAAAATACAGGCTAGAGATGAATGCAAATCAACGCTACCATCGCTAAATATTAGCAGTGATAGTGTGCAACAAGAGAAAGTTCGTCTAGAATCGAGTCCATATGAAATGCTGCTGAATAGTTGACAAAAATAATGGAATTGAAAATCGAGTACAAAAGACTTGTAAATATATCTGCTCATGCCTTCAAGCACAAGCTGCTCTACAGTACCCGTCTTCAGGCTCTCTCGCCTTCATTCGTACAGCACTGTGTTAGTGTTGCTTTTCGTCCTTGTTTGTTTGTGTGCTATCATCAGCATGCCCAATCATCAGCATGCCCAAATATATCTTCTTTCACGTTTTCACCGTGATCTTACATTGTTTCCTGCAGTGGCAAGCGTGCACTTGCTGGGCACTTCAGTAGCCGAGATGCCAAGGTATCACAACGCAATTGGGGTGATACCTGAATGGAGTGCAGGTTCTTGCTCTTTCCTGCATTGTCCTTTGTTTGGGGGGATCAGGGGCTTATTGAAGTATGGTTGAAGCTCCTGACCTCAAGGGCTGAGCTCAGTGGGATGGTTATATTTTTATGCTAACAGTTCGGCAGTCTTGCATACTGGCCTTCGTTGTTGGAGCCATGGCTTGTTGATGTATTCTAGCAAAGTTCCAGATTTTAAAATTGCTTCGATAAATTGTCTGTAAGAGCATGTTGATCATTAATTTCTTGTGCCAGCAGCGATGGAGCCTGTGAATGATCGAAGTAACACTTGCAGGAAATAGATTCAAACCTTAGATCACTGGTTGTCGCGAGAATCGCCTTTTTTTGTTGCGTGTAAACAGGGAACCATGACCCTAAGGTCTTCAGCAAAGTCTTAGCAAATATAGCTGCTGTGTTTTGAATGTTAAAGAGCCTGCAAACAACCCCAAGGTCTAAAAAATTTAATAAAGAGAAATATGCCCACTTTTGCTATGTGAACAAGCTTCTGCTAGAATTTTGTGAATATGTGTTCTAATAAGGAAGTTAGAACATCTAATTCAGCCGGTTTCAAATTTTTGTGCGGCCACTCGCCACTTATTTCTGGGAAGCAGTAGCCCGATGCCATAACTCCGGATGCCTTGGCGACATAACACGTCATCCTAAATACGTCACCAGTATACTACAACCATAGACAGAGCGGGGCTTCCCCCTCATGAGTTCTTGTCATAGCGGTGCAGGCAGGGAACACTAAGCGAGGAGCACTACAGTGTGATACGTACACATTTTTATCTTGGAGGCTTTCGTTCTGGCAATACCGCTTCTCCCCAAGTCTCAGGCTCTACGAAACGACAGAGGGCAGCAGAGAAAAATAAAAATGAGGACAGCGCAGGGCCAAGGCACTGTTTCGTAGGGCAAGGAACCTGTCGACGAGCCGAGTGGTGTATAATGTTGCCCATGGGCAAGCTTTGGTCAGACTGTGCGTAGATGGTCAGGCAAGAGAAACAGGCGTGGGAATGTTTTTCGAAATGGAGGATACGCGCGTTGTACAGTGCTGTAATATTCGACAAATGTGATCGCCGTGGTCAACTGTACGAATTGGCGAGCTTGTTTGGTGGGTTTATAAAAAGTTTGCTTCCAATTACTTGCCCTTTAAGAATTGGTTCTGTCTCACTTTGTCATGTGTCTTTTTTTCATGTGGAAATGACATAATCTTCTTTAAAAAGAACATCCGCTTGCTTTCAAGTTAGGCTGTCATTGAAAGTTTTAATGAAAAGTGTACCATCATGAGATTAGCATTAATTTTAGCCAGCCCACCCAAACTAGGTTGCACCATTGACCTTTTTTGCATTTGAGTTACTCTTCCTGACGAATTATTTTCAACTTCAACTACTAGCTGTTTATAAGTCAAATAAAATTATTCGACTAGGTATATTATGATTCATATTCAAGACTTGAGCACTTGTACACCCGTGATTCGCGGGCTTACCAAACGTTATGAATCGTGCTTAACACTCGCCATATTAATCAATATAACCAATAGTTATTTCCCCTTTCTTGCATTTTGAGTCCTGAATCACCACTGAAGGGGGTCGATAAGTACTTGGGGATGCGGAAATATTTACGTGTGTGAATTTCATGCAGTGCCCTAATACGAGTAGTAGGTATAGTATTAACCAGTAACAGTCGCTTACAGTTCAGGAGAAGACTGTGCGAGCACGACTTCCTTTCACTGGTAAATGATTGGTGCGCTGCAGTTATTTGAGCGATGCTGACAATATTTTGATAGGTTTCAACTTAATATTGTAAGTTAGAAAAACAGTTCCTTGCAAAAGGCACACACACTGTGGTAGCTTGGCATGCACTGTATCGCGCTGCTAAGCTCGAGGGTGCGGGTTCAATCCACGGTCGCAGGTACTGCCTTTTAATGGGGGCAAAATGCAAAGAATGCCCATATACCTAAATTTAGGTGCTCAACAAAGAATCCCAGGTTGTGTGAATTAATCCTCTGTCCCCTCATTACAATTTTTCTCATATAACCAGGTCATTATATTGGGATGCAAGACCCCAGGAATCGATTGCATAATGCGGTACAGTTCTTAGTTGCTCTGACAACCATGAACTGTAACGCCATTTTAACCTTTGCAGTCTCCTATCTCTTCTTATTGATTTTTTAGTTTGCTTCATATTAACTTCTTGCACAATTTATTTTTTATGCTCCAAATTTTGAAATGAGTCATGGTTCTCTCGCTGGCCAATGTTCTATGAATTTTTCTGTACAAAAAATTATGGGCATGAAATATTTTAATGGCTTAGTATTGGTGCATATTAAAGGAATTTGGCCTTTTAGATGCTGCATTTGAATAACAACTATATTGGATTCTATTTTCTGGAACCTGGCCTTTGAATTTGAAGCATATGTATGGATCAGGCACAGCAATATAGTAATTCTTATGAAATGTGCTGGGTTGATATACTATTGCCATAACAGTAGCTCTGGTTCCGCTGAAGCACAGTGGTCATCTGTATGGTTATATGTAAAGCAACAGTGCGCATTACCAGCTGCTACAGTCCAGTTCCACTTTGTATGACACATGATTTACGTTCCATTGTATGACACATGATTTACGTTGCCTTTTTGTGCTCTCGATGGCTTTGCAGGTTCCTTGTCTTTTGTGGCCCCGAAGCAGTCTTCTTCACTGGTGTCTGCACAAAGTCGACTGCATTCCTGCCAGTGGTGCACCTATGTCACCCGCCACAAGTCATCTATGAACAGACACCTTCAGAAACGCCATGGCGAGCGCCCCTTGAAGTGCCAGTTCTGTCCAGCATCATTCAATCATAACTCCAAGCTGGACGTTCATGTACGCACTCACACAGGAGAGCGCCCCTTTTCCTGTGTCCAGTGCAATGGATCGTTTTTTACGAAAGACCAACTCAAAACACACATGCGGAGGCACACAGGAGAGCGTCCCTATTCTTGTGCCCACTGCAATGCATCTTTTATAGTGAAATCCGCGCTCAATCAGCACATTTGGTCGCACACCGGAGAACGTCCACACAAATGTAGCCAGTGTACCGCATCCTTTACTCAGAAAAGAAGCCTCGTCCATCATATTTTCTTGCACACAGGAGAGCGCCCGTTCTTTTGTTCCCACTGCAATGCTTCTTTTTCAATAAAAAAGTACCTTGATGAGCACCTGCGCACTCACACGGGAGAGCGTCCTTTCTCCTGTGTTCACTGCGGTGCATCATATTGTCGGAAAACCAGCCTCATCAAACACATGCGCAAGCACTCAGAAGAGCGTCCTTTCTCCTGTGCCCACTGCAGTGCTTCATTCGTGATGAAAAGCTACCTCAACGAGCACATGCGCAATCACGAAGGACAGCGTCTCTTCTTCTGCGTCCACTGCGATGCATCCTTTATGCTTAAAAAGTGCCTCGACAAACACATCCGCATCCACACGGAAGAATGTTCCTTCTCCTGTGCCCATTGCAATGCATCTTTTTCAGCGAAAGGGGGCCTTGATAAACACATGCGTATTCACACAGGAGAACGTCCCTTCAAGTGTGTCCAATGTAGTGCATCTTTTTCTCAGAATAGCCACCTCCTTACACACAACCGTGTGCACACAGGAGAACATGCCTTCTCCTGCTTTATTTGTAATGCATCTTTTTCTAAAAAAAATGACCTCATGAAACACATCCGCATACACACAGGAGAGCATCCCTAATCCTGTGTTCAGTATTATGGATGCTTTTCAGTTAGAGGCTTCCTTGTTGAGCCCATGTGCAGTGATAGAAGAGAGCAGGGGTCTCTTCACTTGTGTGCACTGTAATGTAACCTTTTTTTGCAAAGAAGCGGCCTCATGACACATGTCCGCACACACTTACGAGGCTGTTCCTCTGCTCGCTGCAGGGAATCATTTGTGATGACGTGCTACCTTGTTGAGCACACTCCCTCAAGATAGCTCCCTTCTCCTGCGTCCACTGTAATGCACCCTGTAGAGAAGCCGCCGAACACTGAAATGGGTCAAACTCTCAAGTGCTCTCTAGTGGGTCTACCCAAAAAGAATGCCACTCGCGCAGAGAGTCTGTGCTTGGCCGTTACTGTCGCCATTGTGTATACTCGCTGTGTGCTGGCTAATAAACGCCATAACAAGTTGGTGGAGAGTGCTACGATCCCCTTCGATGCCCTCGGAACTACGCTCACGTACCCTGCAATCTACCATGTCCCACGACGCCTCTCAGCAAACGCCTCCTCCCATGCCACCCCCTTGTCCCGGTGTCCCCAGGATCCGCGATCCACCCATCTTTACTGGCGCTGATGGCACTGACGTGGAGGACTGGCTCGCCATTTACGAGCGCGTGAGCGTCCCCAACAAATGGGACGAGGACGGCAAGCTGACCAACTTGGTATTCTACCTTACGGGTGTTGCCAGTTTGTGGTACAACAACCACGCGTCCGATTTTAAGACCGCAATCATCGACGTCTTCGGCCGCCCTGCTGTTCGCAAGCTGCAAGCCGAGCAGCGCTTACGTGATTGTGCTCAGGAGGCTGGTGAGGAACACTGAAATGGGTCAAACTCTCAAGTGCTCTCTCGTGGGTCTACCCAAAAAGAACGCCGCTCGCGCAGAGAGTCCGTGCTTGGCCGTTACTGTCGCCATTGTGTATACTCGCTGTGTGCCGGCTAATAAACGCCATAACAACCCATTTTAAACAAAAACCAACGCATCAAACACGTCCGAATCTATGTAGGAAAGTGTAGATTCCCCGTCCACTGCACTGCATCTTTTCATGGAAGTACCATTTCATAGACCACATATCTCGTCATCATAGAAAAAGGGAGCCATTAAAGTGAAAGGCCTACAAGCTTCCCTTAAAGGGAAGGTGTGGCAGGGAAGGCAGCTTGTTCACTCGATTTGACAGTTTAAGTTTGGTCTAAAAGAGCGCTGCAACTCTTTTTGTGAACATGATTGGGAAAGGGTGCCGGTCGACAGTCAAACTTTCTTCCTGAAAACATGAGAGCCAAACAATATACTATAGCATTGCCCGTGGCAGGCAGTTTAGTCTTGCCTAGATCTGAAAGTCTGTTAAAAATCATTTGCTCTTCTCTTGACGAATGATGCCATATACCTCAAATTAACTGTTGTACGCACCCAGAAGACACTTCTGTTGGCTTTTTTTAACATTTTGAATGCTGCATAGCTACCAGTGTGACGTGAAGTGCTCATATCACCTAGTGCTACGTGTCTACTTCTTCTGCTAAAGCTTCGAACTATCTTCATTGGAAGGCACCTGTAAAATGTGTACAAATTGAGCTCAATTTTGTGGGCTTGTGCATATATTTTTGGAGATGGATGCCAAGAGTTTCCTTATGAACTGCTCAGCATTTCTTGGTGGTGGAAACTCATTTTGTGCATATCTGTATATATTTTTATGGCCGCCTACACCTTCAGGCTCTGCTCTTACGACTGTATCATTACGAAATTTTGGTGCAGTGATGTTAAAGAGCTCGCTTCGCATTGTTTCCGGCCTCACCGTCATTGCTTGTGAGTGAAAAATTATTTTGTGCGTGACTGAAAATTCGAGAATGATGCTAATAAAATAAAATTCAGAAATTTCCAAGTCCAAGTAAGGATCGTACTCTGGCCCTTTGCATAGCAAGCAGGCATTCTTCCACACAGGCATGAGTCTGCTTGAAAATACAGAAAAAAATAATTACTTCTTCTGTTTGAAATGTACTAAAGATAACTGTTATGCTTCACAAACAGATGCCTCCTCTATACAGGCTTCACACTATAACTGTGATATTGCAGTACTATTAGTCGTGGTATTAGCGTATATTGCACCGATTGTCAGTACATATGATTACCGTTACTCTATGCCGGCACACGAGTTCAGACGTGCTTCTCTCACCGCACGTTGAAAAAGTTGCCTAATTGTTGACGATGCACAAATTATTTGTTTTGACTTATTTGTGCAATGTGCACTGAGCTCAAGTTCATCAAAAAACATATACATGCAAGAGCCAGGAGTACAGCTCTGCGCCATCAAACTAGTACATTCTGATGTCTGGAAATATTCACTGCTTGTAAGCTCTAACAATAGTAGTTGAACACTTTCATCATATACGTCTGAGTATGGGTGGAGCGTCATTAGTCAAGCAGGTAATCTGCTAATAGTCCCTTAAACCTAGACAATCTTTTTTGTCTGAATAAACAATGAATGAATGAAAGTGAAAACTTTGCTGGGCTTCACAAATTACTTGTTCACAACTTACAATGCTTCCTAGTCGGCTTGTGTGCATAGGTGGAGGGCCTGTTGCTCGCGTCACTCTAAATTGGTTTGTGTAATTAACGAGAATAATTAGGAATTTTTCGGCCATAAGGTCTGTGGATAGTCGGGAGTGGCTGTCATCAACGCCTTTAGGGCAGCTTAAGATAGGAGCGCGTTGAAGGTAGGGCTAAACTGCTTTTAGATGCGGAGCATCTTATACTCGCGCCTTGTAGTGCGCCGTCCGCACCGCTTCTCGAACATTCGACAGCTGACGCGCGCGCATGCGCCGTCGCCCACTCTTCCACCATCTGTGCATCCCTTTCTCCTCTACACACCGCGCGCGCTTCACTCCTCCACCATCTGTGCACCCTTCCTCTACACACCGCGTTCGACATCTACAATTCTCCTGATTCTCCAGTGGACGCGCATGTGGCGTCGCGCTTCGAGAACATTCAACAGCTGACAGTGCATGCGCCGTCGTGCTGTATATATACTCAAGGTCGGCGCTCGCTCGCTCAGTTGCCGCTCGTCGGTTGGTTTATACGGCGCGTCGACGTCCAAGGTCGCGGTGAAATGAATTCCAACGAATCCACAAACACAATGATCGACGTCCCTTCGACCAGCGCCGCCCTTTCGCATACGTGTGTACGTGTTCACTCATTTAACACCCCCTCCTACAACCACGTTAACCAATTTAGCCATCGACCCAAGTAAGTCGCAATTTAACACCCCATTTCACAACCACGTTAACCAATTTAGCCATCGACCCAAGTAAGTCGCACTTTAACACCCCGTTAACCAATTATATGGTCCGCATCCTCCTCAGTGTTCCCCCGAGGGAAGCTGCGGGCAATTTTTTTCTAGACATGTTCTTCTACAAACACATTTAGATAGTGCAGAACTGATTTGCACTAGAAAGTTTTAGTTTTGGAGCAAGCCCCTCGCGAACATAAGCAGCTACATTTTTCACATTGTTCGTGAATGTGGCTTGCAGTACAAAGGATTGCAAAAAAGCTTGGGGTCCCTGTAATTAATGTTTTTAAGTGGTGTTAACACCTTGACAATGCACACCACCACTCTCAGAGCGTCCGAAGGGGTTTTTCAGCAGTGAATCCTCTCTCTCTCTCTCTCTCCATTTCTTTTTACTGCTCTGCTTGGCAGTAACAGGCTGAAACACTCATGTGGACATGGCCTCCGAGAGGCCGAGCGCGTGGCGTGCTTCTCTCCCGCCGTTTCAATCGCCATGCTCTGCGGCAAGATGAACAAGTATCGCCACAGAACACCTATATATTACCACTTAAAGAAGGGAGACAGTGCAATAAAAATCAAGGTAGCGGTGGCGTTGTGAACTAACTTATCCAACCTAGAGATGGCGCTGGTGGGACTATAGTGTACTAGAATATATTTTAGTACACTACAGTAGGACTATCATTATCATTGTGCTAGGGCAATATGGCGGCTGCTTTGGTGGCAGGTGCGGGTGGTCGCGGTGCGGGCCCGCAGGTTTATGGTCGTTTTTTTGCTGCTATTGCATGGTGGTATTCGCGCGCAGGGCTTTCTAACGTTACTATAAATACTTACGCTATGTCGCCAAGTGACCGAGAGGTCTCAACTGGCAAAAAACACGCCAAGCAAGTAGGCTTACATTGTTTATTGACAATCGTGAATGTAGCAGTATACATGTAAACAAGGAACACTGTCTCTCACAGAATTGACATGCAAAGAAAGAAAATAAACAGTGATAGCCACCTGTTTGATAAAATTACCCGCTGAGATTTCGCAACTTTGTTCTTGTCTCTATCAGTCAGACAACGATATCTACACTGGAAACCCCTTGCACAGTACTTTGTACTATGCTGCACATTGGCTTTCTCACCACACATGCTCTCAAAAAGTGCAGTGTCAGTACGATTAGCCTGAGCCGCAATATGATATTTGACAACGCATTGGCGAAAAGCACATCGCGTTGAATAAAAAGAAATGACCCCATGCTGTTGTGCTAGGTATCCCTGCATATAACATTGTTCTCGATATTGTGTTTAGAATCTGTTCTTGCCTGCGCGTCCAATCTTTTTACAACTAACTAGACTAACTTTCAGTTGTGGTAAGCAAGTGCATCCTGGAAAAACACCATTTACAGTATCATGTTGAAAAGGAAACTTGGTTTACGTTTCAAAACAGGTAAAAGGGTTGCAGTGACAGGCACTTTCATTGAGTAACAGTTGGTGAATTATGAAAGCCTTGGTCAAACATTTCAGCAAGTCAACATTCTTGTGAAAGTTGTCACGGGTGACAAGTTGAGAGAATTCGTTACCCTTGCCCTAGCTCGCCTACTGTTGATCAGCTGATAGATGATGCCTGTTGGTGTTTCAAAAGCACTCTTTGTAAAAAAAGAAATTATGCACCAGTGGACAGCACTCGCAATACATTGGTGCATAATTTCTTTTTGTGCGTATATGTCGATGCACATGACATATACGCACAAAATAAGGACATATTGTCACGATGAGTCACAAGTACTGGGGGATTTATTATTTATTGAACGACCGGGTAGCTAGCTCTAGGACGATGCGTCAGTCGTGGCTGGCTCTCGAGCAGAGAAGAAGACACGCGATCTTCTTTTTCCCTCCAGATTGAGAGCCGCTCTTGCTGTCGACCCACTACGTGCTGGTGGCATTATCCCCCCTTCCGAAAAGAAAAAAAAAAACAAGTCCCAAAAAGAGGAAAGAAAAGTACATAGCATCACCGCGATGCTACAACATAGGCACGTGAAAAAGAAATTGGAAATTCGGATAAAGTGAAAGTAAAGATTGAAGAGCATGCCAAAATAAGAAACGTCAATGAACGAGAAAGCAAGTTCACACAAATAAACAAAAAAACACACAA